CTATTTATCAATCTGTAATAAAAGACGTGAGGAAATTCTGTCTTTTTTAAAGACAAAAATTTTTGAGGCGAAATACCCAAAAAGAAGTTTGTAAACTAACTATATTGCGCACTATACAACTCGATTGAACAATTGACTCAATGATTAGTCTGACTAAAACACGAAACATTAGAACTGGAAACCATAAACTGTGTCGTTGTGTGAAGATAACCGAGTTGGGACTGAATTGATCGAACAAGGCATTTGAGGCACGGGGGCCCCGATAAGTAACCGATAAGACAATCAAACATTATGTTCATAAATTTAACACGCACAGACGCATTTATTGTCACGTAATCTGTACCGCCACATGCTAATGACTGTGTATTTAAAAAATAGCTCTATGGAAATGGAAAAATGTCGACCATAAATTAGGTCTAAATGAAATTTGGAGCGTACAAGAAAATTTACCAAACGGAACTGAAAAAATCGTGCAATAAATTTTAAAAGTAGGCGAATTATTAATATGAATAATCACATGGCTACAGGTAGTTTACAGTCATCTACTTTCATTCTACGCTGTGGGTGCAAGGAGCTATTTTATTTCAATTTTGCTAAAATGGTTTTATGTGTTTCCATTTCAATCGAAAATGGCACTTGCCTTGAAACTGGGCAGCTCTAGTTTCCAATCGGGCAATATTTCAGAAAAACCAAGTGATAAAGATTTGAAAAATTCAAGTTTTGCTATAACCAGAAATAGTATTGGAACGCTCATTGATAAGCTCGCGAATCGATGAACAATAGTACAGTAAAAGGAAGTTCAATTTTGGTATATGAGCTCCAAAAACTGCACTAGTCTTACGGTATCCGCTAACACCTGCAACATGTTTTTTTCCAAATAAAGATCAAGCGCAAGTGTGAGGAATTTTTTAACAACGCAATTAGTCATTCTACATGTCCATATACGGTTATTCAATAAATAAAAGTATTTACCTGATACGCATCTGGTATATTGACGGGGTCTCCACTCTCAGCAACGTAACCAACAATGCCAGTCCCCCAAGGTATTCGAATCTCGTCTTTTTTCTCCATTTCCATCAAAGTACTTCTAGAGCAAACGTCAAATAGTTTTGAGACCTAAAATAAAAGATACTAATATGTAAAATTTGTAATTATCAACTATTGCAACTTAATGGGTCATTTTCAGTTAGCTGAATTTTATTGAATGGATTTAATTGAACAACGGCTGCGGAATTTGACTGATCTTGAGTAAAACTCACAAAAATTGAAACTTAATTTAATTTGAAACATTCTCATCGCTACTTTTTCTGTGTCGAAGTTCAACTTTCTCTCAGTTCTCAGCTCAAGATCATCATTGATCCTTGATATCTTGATAATTACATAATTGAAGTCACCGTCCAAAATCCAGATGTTATATGAACCTGGATGAAAGTCACTTGGAGCGAGCTTGCTAAACTTTTTTATATTACGTGTATACATTAAACTTTGCTGCTTGGCTTTGTAACAAAGTTATGCCCTTAAGGTAGGATGAATTTTCCAGTAATGTGCGTTTTATGGTTCGTGGATCTTCCAGGTTGGTCCGGCTTATCACAACTCTTTCGATTAGCTTTCAGTGAATTGAGTTCAGATAAACTTTTGATAAGATTCTTTGCTAGAATTCAAGTCGCCAACAAACGGGAAAGTGCACATTTTTAAATTTAAGATCGTTGTCTTCTAAAAACGCTGGACAAATCCGCATTTGAGTGAAGTTCTGGCAAAAAGCAGTTTGAATTAGTTTGATTATTTTCCAGTTTCTCAAAAATCAGTACCACTTTGGGTTTAAGCGAGAATCGTTCTATTTAGATACTGATGGTCTCAATATGTTCGGAACCATATTCATTGGTGGTGTGTTGTTTTCCTAGTGGCTTTTGACAGCTGAAGTGAAACTAACTGGACGAGACGTGTGAATTCGTACCTACTAAGTTGAACAGTTTTCTTCGACGTCTAAGTATCAGCTATTACAGATTCCTGATTTAAATATATCCGGATTCGAACCTAGTGCTTATCAAATGATCTCGCAACAGCTATTCGATCCGTTGGATATAAGCCTCCAGAAGTTCCTTCCACAGTATGCGGTTGCGGTCCTCAGTGTATCGTGACCATGGTTTTCCTGCAGTTTTGTCTATGTCGTCTTTCCATCTGGCTCTCGGCCTGCCTCTATTTCTTTTACCGTGTCGTGGCCTTCTTGTCTTGGTTCTTGTTATGTGCCCTGTGATCTTGTATGTTCGTTTCTTCTTCGATCTTGTACTCCCACTCCAAGCATAGGTCTTCCCATTTTCCTTTAACATCGTTTAATCTTTTCCATTGTTGTTTTCTTTATGGTCCATGTTTCGGATGCACATGTTAGAATTGGTAGCACGCATTGATTGGCACGGCAATCGGATAAAATCTGCCAGATATTAATATTCTTCAAGTTTCAGTCAGCCTTTGAATTATCAGAATCTGTGTGAATCATTTTCGTTCTTAAAAATTTAGTCGGTTCTCATTCCTGCTTCTAAAATAGGATTTGTTTTGGTTCCACTTTGACATTTCAAATTTACAGGTTTTTAAAAATTAGCGCTACAGGCTAAAGTGAATGAATGTGAATATTAGTTGAATTACGGCTTGGGGGCTTTCTATGATACGTGTAAATATTCCCGTTTTTATGCACTTGACAATACTTGTATTTTACTTTTAGTGAGACTTTAAACGTGCCAGATTCTCAAAATTGGTCTATATCCAAATTATTTTTGGAGTTTTATGATTATTATTAATTTGTTAAGGGATTTCATCTGTCATGTCTCCCATATGCCCTCTAAATCATGAGTACATGATTTACAGAGCCAGTTGTGGAATTATTCTGTCGGATGTTTCTGCTCAAAAATTATTTTTTTCAAGTTCCACTTGAAGATTTGTTAGCTGTTAAAATATATCAAAGTTCAAAGCTTTGCCAAACATTCAAATTTTTTCGTTTAACGTTCGTCAACTGCTGAACTACAGCAGAATTCCTCTTGATTTGAATGAAATTCGCTTGGAATAAATCTGATAATTTATGTACGCCTGTAAATATTTCCAGTCATTTCCCCTTGGTTCCTTTGATTGTCTGATTTGTTAAAGTCGCATTAATTTGCGAGGAATTGCAATTTTCCACTTTGCCTTCAACTTCTCAAGCGCTATTTGACGAAACAGCAGCTCTGGTACTTTCTATGAGGCAAAAATATTGGCTTTCTAATGTAATTGTTTTCTAATATAATTCCTATATGATTGGTTCCAGGATGTGAAGTTCTGACTCTTTTGACCAATACAAAAATGTTTCCAAATTCAGTTTTGATTGTTATTTTCGAATTTATAGAAAGACCGCATGAACTTAGGAAGGTTTGCATACTGGAAATTGAATAATTTTTTTAGTAGGTTTACCTACTCTATCAGAACTGTCGCTGAAACACAAAGAAATGTTCCTTACTCTTAGGTTAAATCCAAGAAACTGTTCTGCGCTGATACATTTCAGAATCAAAAAAATAGGCCGGAACTTACCAAACATCTACTTCGGGTAGCAATAGTTCTTCCATTATCCTGTTGAGCACATCCCCCACTTCTTTCTCCTTGCACCAAGAAGAGTGAGCCCCTGTCAGCATGCAGCAGCATGGAGACATTTTGCAGAATTTTGTGGCAAAGCGATCGCACTTCGAGTTCGTTACAAATGTCTTTTACCTAGAAGAAAAATGATGGACTATTATCTAATACCAGCATATTTTGGTGGGCCTTAATGAAAAGAATTGTGAAGCTTTAAATTAATTATAGCATGAATCATCAAAGCTGAATACCAAACACTTTGGAGTAGATACCATAATATGCCATAAATATTGCTAGTTCATTTCCGGGAATTTTTTTCTTTCTAAGTCGTGCCACTCGAACGTTACCTATTCTGCCTGCCAAATTGCAGCAATGGTTTAGTCGATTTTGCTACCATTTAGGAGATAAATGAAGCAGAAACAATGAAGTTAGAACCCCAATCATAAAAATGCTGCGCGACCCAAACTCAAGCACCTCAATCAATTACGTGGTGGGCAAGACAGTAAACGCTGATATCGTATGCCTGGAGATACGCAAGAAACCGTAATGAAGACATTTTCCCATCCACAATGTGTGTTTTGGATCCATTTAATCGGCATTACACGGCACCGAAAGGAACATGTGTGCCTGTAAAATGTCGACTAACAGAAGATAACGACGTCATCCCTTAAGGGCTTATCTTTCGGGTCGTTGGATTTTACATGCCTAAAATGTAATGACGATAATCGCAGGCCATGTAGGATTACATCCGGTGTGGGTGGCCATAATGAGAGCAATGGATTGGCTATGAAACACGATTTCTTCCGCCATTCATTCAGATTCCAATTTGTATTTAACAGTCATGGAAATGGGGAGCTAAATCAACTTCCAATATTTAGCTAAGAGTGTTAAGAATCATTGAAACTGTTTCAACAATGAGAAACTCGCATGTTGAAAAGAGAGTTAAACAATTAATCAGATGAAGAAATGCGCAATTAAAAGAAGTTTATATAGAATAAAAACAGTTGAGTCTTCAAACAGAATAATTTTCCACTGTTATGCATTCGAAATTAGTTAAGAACCCATCGAATTGTTTTTCTTCATATAAGTTTGGATACATTAATGAAATGCTTATAATTTTGTAATAATCAATCAGATTTTTCCATGGAGGATTCTCAGCACAAATGCCAGTCGTTTTCAGATGTGATTGGTTGAAGTCTCACATTCACTTTACGGAAACGCTTTAACTGTACTCTTTCATATTTGTGGTTGAAAAGTCAAGTATCCAGCACCATATAAGCAGTTTCTCCAAGCCATTCGCATCAATTAACCAGTAATATTAAAGAAGCATGTCCATATTCCAGTGAATAAATGCTAATAAAAGTATTGGAGAAAATAATGAGCAAATGGGACCCTCTCTCTCAACCTCAAACTCACTTAAATTTAATTGAAAGGATTAATTAATTTAAAATGGATAACCTCAGTTGAACTTGATCGGATCAGTATAAATTGATTGATTGATCAGCATAGATAAAAAGCAAAAATACTTAAAATCCATTTAAATGGAACTTGAGGTGAGTCAAGAAAGTTTTTTCGTTAGAACATCGACTCAATGCAATTATCACAATCCAGAATGATTTAGAAAAGAACTGCATGACGTTTCGGTTGTTTTTTAGCCAGTAAATTATCGAAAATATGCAACAAGACAAATCTTTATTCCATTTCTAGTTCAATGACTCAGTCGTAAGCTGAAGTTGTTACACACATACATACATATGGACTATAAATACAGCCGAGAAATTTTTTTTCATAGCGGACTCGAGCTTGACGGCTACACATTTATAAACCGCCCTCCAACCAGAGAAAACAAAGAAAAATCGCTTTAGCTCTTCGGAGACCCAAAGAGTTTATATTTATTTCAAGGTCTTAAATAACTAAGTGTGAAAACAGTAGGAAGTTGAAAGCCGAGAAGGATTTCTCGATTACCGACTGCGGAATTTATGAAGATTGCTAAGAAATGAAGGGATGAATAAAAGAAGCTTTTTCTTAATCCTTTTAGGGCAAACGCTGTTTTGATTTATTACACAGCGGTATCGAGTAATGCCGGTAATTGATGAAATGGAACAGATGGGAATTTATTTTTCAAAACAACTTTACTAACGGAAAACATTTCGTTTTAACAGCATCTCCTCATTAATTTGCAATTTGCTATTTAAATAGACCGAAAGTCCATGGAGATTCATCGATTATTATTAGGTAGCCGATCTGTGATCCAGCTTTAAGCATACATACAGTTAATTGAAATGTACTTAGTTATGAAACCATACCACGTACCATATTAATGAAATAACATAGTTTAATATGGGAAATTTGTTTGCCCAATTGAATATACAGTTTCAATTGGAATTCTATTACATATTAATATATAGGTTGCTTGAGAATGGCATTTCTTTTCGTAGAGGACGATAAACTTAAAAATTTCAGAAAGAACACGAAAAACCTTGAACAGTTTTAGTTAATATTGAGTTGGAAATCATCTTTACTCACACTCTCTTCATATTTTTTGTTTAATATGAGAACCTGTAGAAGAAAGAAATAAAACAGACCATACGATAAAAATACGATAGTCTTAGAGGGAAAATTTGACGTTTTTGTGTCGATGCTATTTTATGCCTATTTATTTAAAAAAATGTTTTTGTTTTTACATTGATCCAATTGCACTTATTAAATAAAACTTCTTCGTTGACAAGGATCGTGAAAAGCAGCATCGTTACTTTTATCTCATTTCTATGTATTTTGTAATTCAGCGATCCCGCAAGCATAAACTATAACTGTTTCATTTGTTTTGAGAATATTAATTATACTTTTGTGTGTTTTATACATTGCATACTTAAATACAATAAATAATGGCAATAATAAACAGTTAAAAATATATTAACGAAATAGACTGTTTAGTTGTCAGAATCTTAAATTGCCTCCTTTATTTGCAAAGTCTGTCCTAATGATGTATAATCGATACTCATTCTGGGTTAAAGTGCTTCTGTTAATAATACGAAAACAACTTAAAAGTGCTTTTAAAGCTTCTTGCTATAAAACTTGCTAAATAAAGCAGAAAACTATCAAATTACGGAAACTACATAAGACACAAAATGTTAAAAGCAGTAACGGAATATGTATTTGTTATTTTGCTCAATTGAATTGGATCGGAAGTTAAATAAAAATAATATTACTTAAACCGTCTAACTAAACTCAAGGAAAATTAAATACGAGCCGAATAATTGATAACATTAATTATGTTTTTATATAATTTCTAATGGAATTTTGTTTGATTTAAAAATGCTCCTAATTATTTTTTATCCTTGCGTTTTCTTTTTCTAGATGCAGTAAAATACGAGCGACTGTATTCGTAAAATTTCCTACTTTCTAACATAAAGTCACAGAAAAATTAGCTACCTTTGATTTAATTTTGGTAAATATTATGCCCCATACGAATTGTGTTAGTGGCACTTGAAGATATAGAAGGATTTTCTCAAGATTTTCGTTGTAAATTTGAGGCAGTCAATATGGCTAATCGTTTTCAGGTTAAAACAATATCTACCTCACACGGGCTGAGACTCCCATAACAAAATAATATCACTTTATTATAAAACCGAAAATTGAAACATCTCATAATATTAGCGGGTGCTGGAGCAAAAATATAAATTAGAACATCATCACGAATGAAATAAAGTGTCCAATTATTCAATTTTTATATAATTTGAAACATTTCCAACAAATGCTTTAGTAATCAATCTGGAGTGAATTTCTGGCAAACTTTTAACCAGATTATCATCAATAGACCACGATCGCGTTAAAAATTTAAAGCGGGAAGTAATTTAACGTGATTGATGAGCTACTCCTTCCATTTCGCTGGATCCGTTCAGTCCGTTACCCAACTCCCAGAGATTAAAATTTAATAATTTAATAATAAATAAAATATCAGATGTTCGCAACACAATTTAATTTACCAGAAAAACGTTCCTGCGACATTAAAACCACCAAAGCCAAGTGATTTTGCTTTGGGATGGTTCTTAAAGTAATTTATTTAAGGACTAAAGGCTCTCAGCCTTGACTGAGACGTATCGTGTAATTCATCTTTGTCCCTCCGTTGTTTGTTTTTCGCAAATTTCAGATCTACAGTTATTGTGATGCAGAGGGTGGACGATCAGTGATTCCATACCGCAAAACCGAAAAAAATACATTTTGAGATAATCATCTGCTCTAGCACGGTTAAAATTCGAGTATTTCTCCAGTAGCCCGAGTTTAATCTTTCGCTTGAGAGTAATGAATAAAAAGTTAAACGGAACTATTTTAGAGCTTCATTGCATTTTGTTCCACTTGGCTTAAAAGTAATCCCAGAGAAAGCTGGGAACATCGATTACACTCACTTTGAAAATTTCCATCTTAGGGCAACAAATTGAAGCAACTTTAGAACAGATTATAGTCTCTACCTCTGTTTTGAACAATGCACCGACCTTTGATAATCAGTTTTAAACATTCTATTAAATAAGTTCTGCTTCGCGCTGAAGAACATTGTTAGACGAGAAGAATATGTGTGGCATTGACGTGGATTTTTAATAATAAATAAATTTTGAGCTTTTACAATAAAACTTTGACAATGTTTCCCATTTGATACTAAACATTATTTACTGCAACTTATTGTTTTCAGTTTTACGATCTGTACGTATATACCGCAACAATTTGTTGATTGTTTATAAGTGATTGAATCATCATTTTGTAAACTTTCAGTTTATAATATTATGAAATTCTTTCAAGCGTTGATACCAGCAGCATTATTCAGAAAAATGATTTTTCAAACAAGGCTTTCGGTCGTCAGACGAAAGATTATCAATAGATAAGGAAACTTAACTTAACATGCGTCAGGAAAAATACGGTCTTTTGTAAAGAATCTAATATAAACTTACGAGCTCAAAAATAAGTTCCTTTTCGTCTAATTGCCTCAACTCGTGCCGGCTTCGCCTATGTCTTCGGTTCGGTGTCGGGCTGGCGGTGATCAAATTTCCCGTCGGATCTTCTGTAGTGCTAGTCAGGAATGTTTGTTGTCCGTCAACCTGAAATTAACTCATTTTTAGGAAGATTTGTCAGATTTATATGCATATTATCATCATTCTTAAACACGATAAACTGCGGTTAAAAAGTCTCTCATTTGGTATCTGAAACTTTTCAAAATCTTTGGATGGAAACCAAGAATACATAAATGAATATTTTAAAGAGATTTGCAATGGCCATTGCAAAGTTTTCAATTGTGTTTAGAGACGCTGAAAATATCTACCTTCTTGGGAAAGTAGATTTCTTCTGGTTTTTTATTAATCTTTAAATTCATGTCACATTTGACGTTTCAGGATATATTTCAAGATTTTCATCAATTTTCTATAGGTGAAAAATTAAATAAAAATGTAAATACATTTTTGTTTCGTGTTATGAATACAATCCTGATTAGTGGACGATCAAGCCTTACTTATACATATTGACGGTTATAAAAAATAATAAATGTGTATGAAGTTTTTATATTGTTATTGGTTCTAAGTGAATACTATTAATTCATGCACATTTCTTTCAACTATTCGAAAACTATATTACGAGATAGCCAGTTTTAATTCATCAAAGGAAATGATTTCCGTTATTTAACACTCTAGTATATGCGATAGCTGAAAGGTTAGAGTCTATATTCTAACAGTCGGATTTTTGTAAAAATTTGCAAATACTCATTGCGTATTGCTTAAGATGTAAATAGGCAAAGGCAAATCTAATTTACTTAATTAATTGCGTATAAATTCAGAGATAAACCAGGATCTAACAGTAATGGCAAAATATAAAATTGTTGTGAACATGTGTACACTAGACTTGTGATTTTGTTATCAATGTAATGAATAGTATAATTTATAACACGACCATTCAATGGTCAATCTCTTAGTAATTAGAAGAGTCCAGAGTTGATAGCATTCAATTTTTTCCGGGAGAAAAATGAGGGGTCATATCGGGCGATTTGGGTTGTTGAGTATTTCCATGCATGCATATTTCATTAAATGCAAATCGATTCAACTTAATTTAATTAGAATAATTTTCCAAAAACGAGCGACTTTAAATCTGAGTCTTCAGAATCAGTTTCAAGAGTTAACAGCTCTCCAAACAACATGGTTAGATTGCTCCGCTTTAGAGCAGCCGTTTTACATGGTTTATTCATAGCTTCTTTTCGCTTTAGTCTGCATTGCTCACGAAATTGCGCTGATGGTGATACATGATGTACATCAAAAAGCGTTTTAAAAACTAAGAGTTTCCAGAAAAACCGGTTAATTTTTGCTCTAAAATAACAGTTATGTACGAGGGTCGTTTGATAAGTCAGTAACTTTAAATTCAACACTACTGCCGTCTGTTAGTACACTGCTGTGAAATTTTACCAGTCACTGAAAGGAGATGACTTCGTCAATTTCGACGAAAACGAAAAAAAATGAATTTTGAGTGCTAATCAGGAACATTTTTTTACGTAAAAAAAACATCAAAGAAACGAGGGGAACGCTTGATACATACTATGGAGACTCTGCACCATCAATTGGTCAATTCAATGGTTAAGAAGTGGTTTACTGAGTTCGGTTGTCGTCGAACCAGCACAAATGACGCAGAACGTTCAGGTCGTCTTAAAGAGGTTACACCAGAAAAGGTGCATAAAATCCATGGAACGATACTGGACGATAGGAGAATAAAAGTGCGTGAAATGGCTGAGACTGTATGCATCTCAACTGAGAGGGTACTTCACATTTTACATGAATATTTGGATATGAAAAAGCTATCCGCACGATGGGTGCCGCGATTGCTGATACTCGAACATAAACGCTCCCGTGTGACCATTCAAATGAATGTTTAGCGATGTTTCGTCGCAATTCGTTGACGAAACGTGGATCAGCAACACACCACAGACCAAAGAACAATCAAAACAGTGGGTTTTTTCAGGTGAACGTGCACCAAAGAAGGCGCATATAATTCAGAGCTTTTGGACAAATTCAATGTTCTTAAAGATAAAACGTCCGCTTTTAGCGAAAAAACGTGCTGTTTCATCAGGACAATGCACGGGAGCACGCTTGTGTAGTCGCCATGCCAAAAATCCACTAATGAAGCTACGAACTGCTACATCACCCAGCTTATTTTCCAGATTTCGCCCCCTGCGACTGTTTCCAAAGCTGAACAAATGGCTGGTCGGTAAGAGACTTGGGTCCAATGAAGGGGCCATCATTGAAACAAACACATTTTGAGGACTTCGAGAAATTAAATTATTTGGAAGCGGTAAAAAAAATGGAAAACGCTGGACTAAGTGTATCGAGCTAAAAGGAGATTATGTTGAGAAATAAAACGATTTTTGGCCAAAGGAAATGTCTTTCATTTAAAAAGTCACTGACTTATCGAGCGACCCTCGCATATTAAGTCGCTCGTTCTGCAAGCTTGTAATTACTTCATATATAGGAAAAAAAATAATTATAATTCACAGAAGTTTAAATTTGTAATACATTTCTATTAATTTATGTTTTTCATAAACGAACTCAGATTTTTTGAAAATATATGCCTAGCTTTCGTTAAAATATTTTCACATTTTCGTCGAGATAGAATAGTTCGATAATGTATCGCATAGCCTATTTTTAGGCGGCAAAGTGGGAAATTGAAGAACTTTGTCCTACTTATCGCTTCAGTTGTTATGCAACTTAATCTTGTCTATTATGGCGACCTTTGAAATTCCTTTTTTTAACCAGAAACGTTTCGATTTACATGATTTGACTAACTGATCGCATATACAATGTAGCTAACTAATGCGAGAGCAGTTATTATTTCATTCCAATGGATCGACTCCCTTCAATTGTTTAAAAAATTACATTCTATTGTTTATATCGTGGTTTGCATATGGGGAATGTATTGCATTGAAGGATCATGCATTGAATTCATAATATTGGGATCATTTCGAGCACTTAATACCATTGTCATCATTAAAAATGTTTTTTTTAACATATCTGCAGTTTTCGTATTATCTTATCTTCGGAATTATTCAAAGATGAAGGTATTTTATAATAATTAAATAAAAGTGTGTTTTTATTCATAGAACATGCCCTGGATCAACTATTAATTCAATCCAGCCAGTTAATCGCATATAATCCTAGTTAGGTTTGAGAGATTTAAAAGATTTGGTAAAAAACTAAAATTACATACCATAACTTGAAAAATTGAGATTTCTTTAATAACATATGACCCAATCTAGTTTAAACTGACCAAATATTCGAACTGTTTCGACCTGGTCAAACAAATTTGTGTATTCGGAAGATAACGCAACATCGGGAGGCGTAGCCGGAAGCTGTGCAAGCCAATAACGTTTGAATTTCTTTTTTGGTATCGTATTTGGTGTTAATTGTTAGCCCAACTAGATGATTGGCTTGATCACTTTTGTACAATGTTATCAACGTACAGGAAAGAAATTCAATTGGAGACATTTGTTAGAACTCATTTGGAAAAATGCGCCAAACACGTCATGCTACTTACTTACCGTGCTGATCATCGGTTTAAGTAATCCGCCTCTTTCAAATTCATGAGCGGAAATTTTGCGAACGGGCGTGGTCGCTCCAGATCCGCCTCTGGACGACCCTCCTGGGATGCCATGAGTTGGTGAGGATAATTCCACACTTGATGAAGCCGGCGTGGCGTGTGATACGAGCCAGGAATCCACCACTTGACGTGTAGCTTTTCTGGAAAAAAGGAGAAAAAAGAAAAAAGTCAGATTAATACGATCTCTTATGCAAGCGTATTTTTGCCCTTAAAAGTTTCGAATGGAAAAATGGTTTCTGTGTCTGATGTGAAAAAAGGGCAAACATTTTCATATTATGCAATCTCATTTGTCAGTTGAATTAATCTGCATTCTGAATATTTGTTGAATCTTCTGAATCTGTTGCACTAGAAAAGTGTTTTCTTCTTCTAGATGATTTTCAATTATTTACTAAATAAGTTATAATTTGCAAGTGTGCAAAGGGCATATGAATCTTCAGTCATTTTGAGAAATAAATTTAATTATTATGTGAATTTCCATGTGTGTAAATCAAGATTGACAAACTTTAAATGTGTTCATAAACAAATAAGTAAATCTTTCAAATTAACGTTACTTATCTACCACAAAATATATGCAGATGTAGGTGTTAAGTATTAATATTGAATTGGGTTTTTTGCAGCTATTTGCTGTTCTCAGTAAATCGTATTTAGCAACTCGATGCCTAAATACTTATATTGGTTATATATCGGTTTTAACACATTATTGAAGCAGTAATTTTGTTTAGTAAATATTTCACTCCTGTACAAAATGTCAACTCAATTTTCACATGAGTGAAAGCACTACAAAATTACAAATTTATCTAAATTTTACAGAATGTATAAATTAAGACTACAAAAGTGAGACCATCAGAAGTTTGGTTTGTTTTCCATATTTTTCAAAAGTGGACAAGGTGAATGTGTTTGGGGGAAGTGAGTGAATCGAAAATGACTTTATGTTAGCAAATATATAGAAAATCTGCTAACTTGTTTAAAAACTAATTAGGCAAGTTTGAATTCGATTTCACACATAAGCGAACTTTCATAAAAATTATTGGTAATTTTTGTGCATTCGTGACTGAAATGCTTATTTTATATAAAAGTCCTTAATAATTAAAGTATGAATTAGAGATTAGAGTTAATCTGAATATTTCCTTCATATGACAATCTGTCCGTTTGAATTGTGCAATTATCGAAAAATTACAGCGGTAATTGCACAGTGTGCAATTATCACTCAACGACAATTGCATTGTTTACGAAAAATATTTGACAGGTGTCTTTTCATGTTGAATTAGACATCAAATGTCTTCCTGACATACCTAAGATATTCAAATTATATTTAATAAACATAAGTGCAAATAAATTAAAAGTGCAATAAAATATAATAGAAATAAAATGAATCCACATTTACTTTGCTTACTCAGGAAATATTCATAAAAATTACACTCGTGCATCAAAATAAACAGATAATTTTGAAGCACTTGTGCAATTACCCCCAATAATTCAACGTTACTGGCTGTTAAAATACAATTTTCTTTACGGGCGTTATTTGAGCTCATCCTCCCAAAATGCCGTTTTATTCGAATAGAGGAGATTATTCAAGGTGAAAAATTCGGGAAACTCTCAATTTAAAAGGGTGAACGGCTTTAAAATAAACACGAAATCCCTCAATAGTCAAAGTCACGTAAAGCAATAAAAACAGCCCTGAGAAACAGCGGGAATATGAATTTCCATTCCTTTATGCTTCGAGCTATTAACTGAACAGACGGATATTTCAAATGCCTGGATGGACGTGATGGAAATTTCTTCGAAAGGACAATAATACGGTGCCTGTAATTGAAGGCAAGTCAGCTGAAGAAATATTGTAGTTTGCAAAATTAGAAGTGCACACTACAAGTGTTGTTAAATTAATGCAAATTAGTAACTAAAACGAAAATGCAGGAAAGGAAACTAGAATAAAGAATGCCGACAAAATTCACAATGAGTGCTAGAAGGAAATACGGGAGAATGTTCAATTCGAATGTATTCATCATCAGCATCAGAATTTCAGCAATACAAATGAAGATTGGCTGCCTCCAGCAATCTAAACTTATGAAGTGATTGGCTTTCAATTACTTCACCGGTTAACAGAATGCTTGAGATTCACTACAGCAATAAAATAAATAATTTAAAGATCACTCCAATTACTGGACGTTATTTAGGAATGTTGCGCAATTTATCTGGAAGCAAGTCTAATTTCAGTCGGTTCATGTCAGCCTCCTTAAGACTTCGAATGCGGAACCTCATTGATGACGACAGTAAGTTGGCATAGTAATTTGTAGTAGCAAAATATCTAAACGATGGAATGAAAGAAACCGATATAACATATTAAGTTGTTGGGTCACAATGACACCGACCAACCAATGCAACTAACAGCAAAACGAAATGAATTGTTTCAAAAATGGATTTTGACTTTCAATGGTCAATTTGAACCATTCGATTCATGCGTTTGGAGAGCTGAACTGAGTCAATTGAACTCACCTGAGAAAGTAGTCCTGAACGAAGTCGGGATGTTCATCCAACCAAGCCTCCATCCGAGCATATTCGGGATCGTATTGATTGGTTCCAGTTCCACTGAGTTGATTTCGAGATAGACCATCGCTTACCGGCATACGCGGATCTGCGCCCTCACTGCTACTTCCACTACGAAGTTGAAGACCTGAAAAAAATACAGTTATGAATCTCCAAGATAAGAAGAGTAGATGAACCAGCTTCTATCTGGGCGCTAAAAGTCTTTCAACATGAAAATGTTGAAAACAACAAGAATGAAAACAAGCCATGGAATTGAGACCTATTTTTGCAGTTACTTACAGATAATCAATATATACAGAAACATTTAAAAAACCATATGTAAGATGGCAGGACAAATACCTAACACTTGTACAAGACGAAAAACCGATTTACGAGAATCTCACAAATTTTACAGTTACAACGTGGACTGAAATAATAGAACCTCTTTAAGCTGATTAATTTTCAAAAATTATCGGAATTTGAATACCTGGTAGTGATAAAGTAAATGTTGCTAAATAACAGAATAACTGTTGAATACAAATGAAAGCTTTAAGGGATGGTACAATACTGACGGATGGATCCTGTAAATTATTGGAGAGTGAGCAAAATGGTTAAACAAATTAATAAATAAAATATACTAAAAATCAGATCCCGATCGGTTATCAAGGGTTGAACAAAAATAGGACACATTCTTGCGAGTGGATATATAATAGCTATAGATACATTTTAGAATTTCAGAAAACTTTTCATAGTTGAACTGTTTTTATTTTTACATATAAAATAATGGAAAGTTTCAAATAGTTCTATAAATTTAAAAGAAAATATATTTCGCAATTCGCATGTTCAAGCTAAATTATGTAGAGACATTTGCAGTTGCAATAAAAACGCTTATCTAAAGTGCCGCTATGATAGTATCTTTTCATAGACAGACTCGCAAATCGTTTAAACAGAAAAAGTCCCCTGATTTGGATGGCAAACGTTACAAACAGAAATTCTAAGGCCCGGTTCCACCAAGAGTGATTAAATTTTTGGTTAACTAATCACAATCATTTTTTAATCACCACTTTAATCATGACTAAATTGTCATGCGTTCCACAACAAACATTTTAACTCCGGTTAGATAATCATCAATTTCATCGGGTTAGATCGTATTTCCTTTGAATGAAGGGTTCTGATTGGTACAAACAACTAACAGATCAACTGAAATCATTTTCCTTCAAAATATGTGGTAATCACATGTCGCTTGGACATTGATAGAGAAATATCCTTTTCTATTCCGAAATACTTCTGCGTTGTCTCCCCCAAAAGATTGTACTTTAATGTGAGTACATTCCAACACTGAAATAAGTTTGGGAAAACGAGCTATTGCAGAAAAAATTACTTGTGCTGCACTTATTTCCCTTTTTGTAGATGGGAGGATTTGCTTACTCCAAAAAAGTCTCTAGCAGCAATTAGATGTGATCCAGTTGCATAATACGTCAACGCAAGTAAAAGTTGTGTCAAGCGTTGAATACCGTTGTTTCTAGAAAATCCATTTAATTAACATGTGGCAATTTTACTGTTATTTATCATAACTTTCTGTAGTATGTTTCAGGTCTATTTCTATTTCCAGCAGTAATGTTTGCACAGTGTTTTTTAATAAGCGAAATTTTAATTGCGGAAAAAAACTCAAGGTGTCCATGAATTCATAATAATTGACTCGCGATATAAATATTCGGGGTCTTCTAACAACCTGAATGTCATTCTCCTCATCAGACAATAAAACATCGTCATAAAACAGATCCAACATGTGTTTACTTTGAAAAATTGTTTGTGGTTATAATACCACACTAATCGTCAATAACCAGCCATTTTCGGCGGTTAGTTAGTTAACCACTGATTAAGTGTCCATAATGGTGGTTAAAATTATGGTGGAACGCAAAGTGTTGATTAAATACTTTTAATCAATGATTAACATTTTAATCGGAGATGGTGGAACCGGCCCTAAGTAAACTAAATTAGTCTCTAAAAAACTGGCCATGGTTGATTGTAATCAAATTTTTGCGGCTTCGATAATTAATCTGTGACTAATAAATTGCAATACATGCAGAATAGTTCACGGCAATACATTGGGCAATAAAAAAAACTGTACGAATTACATCAACCAAGAAGTGTTTAGGTGAGTTGCTTCACTTACCGTGAAAGTTTCCACTTTTTGTCATGCAAATACAATTTTTTTAAAATAATTTAATTTCCTCGTTTACATAATTTATACCATTTGAATCTTTATTGTGTCATTAACAACCGATTTTTTTCCATATAAGCAAAATACATAGATCTTCTCTTTACAATTCAAGGCTGACAACTTTGGAGCGCAAACGTGATTGTTTTGTTAGCTTCGCAACCGTACTATTGGTTAGTGCAAACTGAGAAAAAAAAACCCCGATTTAGATACTAAAACGGTTAATTTATGCGAAATTCTCGCCGAGTTTTACATTCAGGTTCTGGGTGCCTTTCATTCAAAAATCAGCTTGTTCTTTAATGGATTTACATCAATTTGCATATGAATTGAATGTTGTGTGTCGGTAAAGTCAAGTTGCGGACCAAACATTGTTCGTAATAGTTTTGTATTTTCACTTACATTTGCAAAGCGCACTATATTGTGGAAGTCATTTTATAGCGCAATAAAAAACTTTATGGTACTGCTTGCGCTTAATTTACAACGGTATGCTTTATTTCACTTGCATTATATTTTTACTTAAAAGATGCTGAGGTTTGGTGAGAAAAAACGTTGCCATTCACAGGAACCAATCACTTAAAGCTAATCTCCATTTTTTTAAGTTGCATAGTGTTTAACATTACCATCCATAGAGCGAAATTCTATTACAAGACCCTTCTCATCTGCCTTGAAGACAAATTCTAAGAATGTTCAAGTTTCACTTGAGATATTGCATTTGCACATCAGTACTAAAACCTGGATATATTCACATTATAAATGACGTTAGGGACAATGTGAAACCAACGAGCTTAGATCATCTTTCCATGCAATATGCTGCATATAAATCAGGAAAAGCAATTTTGCTCTGTCTCGATATGCTACATGGGCCATTTGGGATAACTATAGAAATATTATGACGAATATTGTGGTTTGCCATAAAAATTACTGGCTTCCCATGTTCCACGTGTGTATGATTTGTTGCAATCTCGAGCCAAATCGATTTATTGAAGTGCTCGTAACTATGTGGGAATTGTTGCAGCCTTAGAATCTATTAATATTCTGTAATATTCCAAACGATTTGTTCCACGAAATTGTTTTACAATACTAATTTAGTTAGGTGGCAAGCATTTTCCATGTTTAAATCAGTATTGTTTATCTACTTCTTTTGGTAATCTTTGTAGGTGGTTTGAGTAATTATTTGACTTTTTAGTGATTGTTGAATACTCAATGCAGACAAGAATCATACTTCAAAAGTCAGATTCCTGTCTGAATCATACCTAAAAAAAAATGCATATTTCTCATTAGCATTTTCACATCAGAAGGCTTATTTATTTTAAATCAGTCAAATTTTTCAACCAACCGTTTTACTCCATTATGTACTTTACCTTTGAGAAAATAACTCGAATTTTCCTCCGTGTAATCTTGATGATTCCAAGAGTAAACCAATTAGCTAATTGAAAGAGGGAGAATCAAGAAAGATATTAGAAAAACAGAAGAGGCAAAATAAAATTATTTGGCTGTTCGTATATTTTTTCAGTAAATAGGGCTGAACATCTGTTCATTCGCCTCCCATATTCCGAGTGTTTCGCACGTGCATAAACTCTAAAGGCGTATGCTGTCACTATGATAGTAAATTCTGTTACTGACTGTTTGATTTTCGTCTTTCAAACTGTCTCAAAGTTTTTTATATCTCAACACGGACAGTTAAAAAAATATATCGAAATGGTTTTTAAATTTTTCTGTCATCTTTTCTATTTACTGATTGGTCTCAAAAAATAAACTTTTTAGTCTTGCAGTGATGATTTTTTGGTGTTTTTTGCTCTGGAATTTTGACGATCTAGAGCTCATTCTGAAGCTTAAACTTCATGCACAATTTAAGACGAAAATTCCATATACAGGGTTACATAAAAATGCCTAAATCAAAATTGCCCCAACATCTGTGATTCTGGCAGATTCTCAACTACGTCAAGCTTACTTTGAATTATTTCATTCATTCATGCAACCCGGTATATCGATTTTTTTTTTCTGAAGTCGACTGTGAAAATTTGTTCAAATTATTACTACAAACCAATAAGTTGATGTTTCTGAGACATACTCTATAGAAACATGAGAAAAATTCAATATTTTTTTTGAGGTATGAAGTTCTTCTTATTGCTTGTGATAAGAAATACAAAAAAACTTTTTTGTCCAACATTGTCCAAGAGCATGTGGGATTTTCACCAATTTTGCAATGCTTAATTGGCAATCCTATAGAAACTTAATCTGAAGCACTAGTTTTTTTACAATCACACGCAATAATTGGAAAAAAGTGCATTACATAACGCTTCAAACAGAAAATAAATTGCCCGCAGCAGTCACAATTTATCCAGCTTCAAAGTTAGTCCAAATTTGTCAGTGTATCGTTGATTTTGTTGAGCAGTTTACGAACAGTAAGAACTTGATTAAGACAAAGCGATTCCTATAGTGGTCAAAAGCTACTTCAGTGTCTTTGGTTTACTCAAATAAACCGCAAACCAGAATTGAAGTAATACCAAAAATTATGACTGTAGCTGCCCCAATTCGACACGATTCAAACACATCTTCAATTATTGGATCAGCAAGAATGTGCTCTGATGTAGCGTAGGACATTGTGGACGAAATCTTTAAACTTTTGCTCTCTATGCTCTCCTAAAATTATTTTCCCATAACCTCCTATTCGGTGGGTTATGGTGAAAATGATAGAAGACATTCGTCTTAAAACTGACCAAAAAATCCTGTAGATATGTTTTATCCTATTTCAAATGCATTATAACATTTTTTTGGTGCTTAATAGCGTTTCCATTTTTCGTAACTTATTTCTAATTTGTTGAACATCGCCTTTTCCTGCGAGAAAAACTAAGGATTTTATACTTCTTAAGGGATCCTTTCCCACCTTCCTTTGACGTAACTTGGTTTAAATATTGCGCCCTTAAAATTAAGCAATTATGCTAAAGCTTCTATATGATACTAATTGAAAATAAAAAGCATTCACAATTTTTTGTATTGGCGAGTGCTTTAGAAGCGCAGTAAATGTGAGGTTTTCAAAATAAATAATACAAAAAAGTTGTATTTGATGAATTACAGTTTGGTTGAATTTCGAAAAGTTGTCATTGGTTCCTCGCATTTTAGCCATCGATAACTAACTTTTTCCTGAATAATATTGTTCTAAACTTTTCGAAAACAGCATTAAATATGGAGTTGCAGGTGACCTATAAATATGAATATGGCAAGTGAATTAAACCTGCAATTGTAAAGCTCAACTAGAAATTGACCATTAAATAACTAGTAATATAATTGAAAGTAAATGTACCTACATATACGTTGTCTGATTATTATAGTATGCCAGCTGCACTTAGTTACATAAATATGTATTTATACTATGGAACTTCACAATTTATTTGATTTGAAATCCATCCATACAATTATAGTCATTTTTTAATGTTTAGGATGCGCAAGGATTCCAACATGTACCTCATCATTCATGTGAATTTTATTTTTGGTAGTGATCCGATGAGACAATTTCAACAAAAGCATTTAACACGACAGTGTGGGTGAAACAGAAATTAATTTCAATTTTATTTACTACATCCAGGAAATCAGATATGAGAGCGCGCGGATGCTCCAGATTATTTTGAGTTTAACAACTGTCGTTGAAATTCCGTAATTCCAGCAGCTGGTATTAGTGTGGGCTGGTTTATTAGTTTGGATCTTCAAAAATTATTCGAAAATAATGGGCTCTGTCGAGGAAACTCGATTGCAGGTGCGGTTTATTCCAGATTAAAAGAACTTGTTTTCAAGTCGGAATTTCTCCCTAGGTTTTATGTTGCCAGCTAGAATTATCAACTGAAAGGCTTGGATATTGAATTTTCTAAATTCGAGCTCTTTTTTACAGGGTTCCATTCACCAGCTCCAAAGCCACGAAGTTGGAAAGACAGGATAGATTCAATGTAAGAAAACTTAATACATATTTTCAAATAATCTATATTTGCATGGTTAAACTGAAAACACACTTCATGATTGCAATATTTCCTAGCTTTTCTAATAGATCTGCAATAAACGTGCTGTTTTGCAGATAAAGGCATCTTTGAAGTAAATTAAGTTTTGACTCACTTAAAATGCAACAAACTGTTTTAACAAATTACCAACACATAGTTTGACTTCAAAATATTATACCAACTACCCACCACTTAAGCTAAACTTTAAACGGCTTTCTTATTGTATCTAACCTTGTTATCGAGTTTAAATTAATATTTCTCAACGTTTATCGTACAGGAATTAATATTGAAACCGATTAATAAACAGTTGAGGTTCCTGTAAGGATAGCTGGGAGTATTCCCGGTCTAAAAATAGCCGAATCGATGAAATCAAGCAGCGTCATCGCAGTACTTATACATACATTCGATGTTAATTTGCCTGCTCAAATAAACAAACACGCCTCTAAAGTTGTAGTGAAAATGAAAGTAGTAGATGATATTAGTTATGCAAATATACAAGTACTTATGGAAAAATTCACTAGACACTAAACCGTTTTTAGGTAAAATTTGCTATTGGAAATTCATCCATGTTTTTGCTCTAATTTCTGAAAATTTAAAACTTTTTGTACTTATTTCTAAACTTGGAAAAAGCAGATGACAATAACGGCTTATAGCATTGATGTGTGCGTGTAGGAAAACAACTCGAACTTGATTAACAAGAAAAGAAAAGTCCCATTTCACCGCACAACTTTTCCCAACAAAAGAGAAATGTTTGTCTCAGTTACTGGATGGTTTATGATTTGTTTTGGCGTGTAAAAACTGGATAATACGGTTACAAAGAGATTTTGGGTAATGAGATCAATATCAATCAAATAGTCTTGAATCTACAATTGGATGTGCATTTGGAGTATACGGCATTATCCATTGAATGAATCTTGGAAGTAATCTAAATATTGAATAGAAAGAAATGATAATTCAATAAAGACATTATTTTGTTTTGAAAATCTGTAGTCGTAATATTGCAGTTAAAAATTCGAGTCGACGCGTCTATTCTAGTGATTCGGAACTATCGGATCAAACCTCTAGGGGTTTAGAACTTTGCATCATTAGAAGACATTTACGAATAAAAATTACGATCGGAAATCTTCGTGTGTCTGCGAAAAGCGGTACGGCCTTTAAGACCGTTATGGGCGAAAATCTGTTTTCTCGAGTTTGAATGCCATTTATTTTATGTTTACCATGAAATTAAAGCAGCATTAAAATTTATTAATACGATGCGCTTTATTCTAGTTTGTTCATATACAGTGGAATGAATCTTTTGATTTTTTTTATGTTTCGGGCTGTCTACATATTTCCATATACCTTTTCCAGCGTTCCATATTTGAAAGTATATTCGGTGTAGAAAATTCTGCATTTAATGTTATTTCAAAGTATTCGTTACTAATTAAAAAATTGAAAGACTCGCTACTGCACTATTTCCCAATGGCCAACAGATATTCTTGACAAACCTTTTCCTGGTATAAAATGACCATATCGTTTTCCGAACGAAAATGTAGGGCTGAAAATTGTACGCATCTGCGACGTAAATTTAGGCTATTGATAGTACCGCCTTTTAGTAGAATAATTAATATTATGACAATTTGTGGATACAGGTTTAAAACGTTCTCTTGGCCAATTGTGGATCGATTGCTTTTTATTCTTTTTTACAGACCAACTTGCTAAAGTGCGAAAAAATTCTTTAGTTTTACAGCTTAGAAATAATTTAAAATAACTTTGCCTATTTTTAAAAGGGAATTGCTCCGTAAGCAACCAGAGCCCTTTTCGAAATTAATATTATTTTCTAAAGCAAATTTTCGATAACGATTTCCTTTACCTCAATTTTCCTTTCAGACAGCAACTAGATTCAATTCGGAACTTTTCTTTCTTTTTTATTCTGTGTTTAAAACCCTTGGCGAGTTTTGAGGAAAATATATAAAACGATTGGCTCGCTGAATTGCTGATTTAGAAGGCGTAGACATTTAACAACGTATTAAACTTCTTTTTCGGCTTTCACTGTTCCATCGTTTCTAAATTTAATACACTTTTTTTAAATTATTTAGTTAGTTCTGTCTGTTTTATAGAATGACGACACCGAACCGTCATGTTTGTTAGTTACTGTTTAGTCGTGTTATGAACAGTTTAAACAAGAACAATTTGTTGAACAGATGTTAAATTAATAGAAATGAATTTGTCAACACGAAAACGTTCGCAGTTATGAAGAACAGCCAAAAGACGAGAGACGAAAATATTTTAAATTGAACTAAATTCATAGAAACAATATTCTCATAACTATATCAACTGGAAGAAAAAATAAAAATTAAATAGTGCAGACAATCAATAGTAGGTAATTTTTATCCAACTTCAAGTAAAATGTAACTTTGGATTTTTTTGTCTGTTTGCCTTTCTGTGGATTTATGAATATTTTCATCAGAACCTTCACTAGGAAAATAATCACTTTTGGGACATTTATCGCAGCTATAAACCTTATTGTCTTAGGTATACTTGTTGTGCCCTTTTTATTCTGTTTGTTAAAGACACTTTTAGACTTAAAGACAAAATGTTTTTGTTTGTATTTCTGAGTTCGATTATTGAACAAAAAAATGCGCTTAAGGAAATAGATGTCGTTCAAGATTATTTCTTGATGTTTAATGCAATAACGTTTTAACTTAAACATTTGAAGCAAATTTTCCACTGTGTTTTTTACCAAAACAGTTCCTAAAGCCTGTAGTTGATAGCATTCGTTTCAACATCAGTCTTGATCCAAATCAGTTTGATTTACTTTCTTTGTTGTATTAACTTCTTAGCATCGTAATTATCGGTATTTGGTTTAGTTTTGAATAAAATTAAATAAGAATAAAATAAATTAAAAGTGTAGTTTTTGGTGGTACAGGAAATTATTGTCAATATTTCTCTCCGAAGCTTATAATTTTGCACAGGCAATATTATGTATTTTAAATTACATAAAAGGTACTCGCTAAGAAACAGCGTCCCCGAATCTGCTAAAAATTATCTGCACGGTAATCTATTATCCCGACTAATAGCCTAGGAAATTTCCAAATAGAATGGATAGATCTAAAAATAAAGCTTGGAGATTGATTGATGATATTCCCCGATTTGTCTTAACGACGCCCTCATTTTATCAATTCAGACTTTGGGGGATGAATGGGGCGTCTGCTAGGGTTGACTGAATGGTTTGTTTACTGTTTATTACAGCGATACACACGATTAAACAGGTGGGTTCTATTTCGGGATTGATCAATTGAACTCTTCAATCACCTTGTCTTTGATCCAAAGTTTCCCACTTTCCGTCAACACATTTTTTGCTTTCGTTTGAGCTTCTGGAGCATTTGTTTGTATTAATGTGTTGAAAGACTTAAAAAGCCTTGAAATGGAAAGCTTTGAGTTGTTTGTTAATATTTGTCCCAGATCCCAGACCCTGTCGCTCTATGTTCGCTATAATTATGTACACTTTTTGGAACTTAGTTAATTATTATTATCCAAGGAAAATGTATCATCTGTTGACAACTTTTCGCAACTGTTTACAAATTAGTTGGCACGATAATAACCGAAACAACACAATGTGGCTAATTAGGCGAGTAACACTTGCACTGGATATCGAACTCAGCTTCGGAGGGCGAAGAGAAATTTAATTTCATGGATCATCAAGGCGAGTAGGGCGATCCTATAACAATATTTATTTTGTGTTAGGTTCTATATGCTGCTCAGTAAATTGCTAATCGATATATATGACGTAGCAACGGATAATTAAAGCCAAATAGCGGTTTATGTTGTAGGTGTTGTTGGCTATTTCCGAACACTCACTCTGGTAGATTAAAGTGAAAATGGATAGTCTATTTTGGATCTGCTTGTTTTGCAACAGTTCCTCGAATTGAAACCATTTCAGGATCGATTTTATTTTAACTACTTCTGTCTAGTTATATTAGAAATATTTTCGTGCTTGGTGTTTACTTGATTAGTAAATATGTATTAAGTAATCATGACCTAACATTCTTAATACACTCTCTAAGAGAGTTAAGATTAATGAATGTAACACTAGAATAATTCAATATATTAAGCTGCGTTGAAAAGTTACATTTAGTTTACATTTCAAATTTGCGATATTGAAGCTGTTCTAGTATTAGATATTAAAGAGCCATTGAAGTTTTCTCATAAAATCTGTTCCAAGATGATTAATTAATTATTGGTCGCCGATATTCGAAACCAAGAGAAACTTTAAGAAGCGGTGCCAGATTGGAAACAGAAATTTCAAAAGATTTTTAAATTTGAAATCCAGATGCCTGAAAAGTTTTACGATTCATCTTCATTTCGTTTTATTTTTCGCAGGATGAGAGTTTTCGAATGTCTAGCCTTGAACTTGTTTTGTTCAGATCTAATGTTCTCTGTGGTCGGGATTGATCGCTTCAGTCGGCTAAAAAATAAAATAAGTTGTAAAATTCCTTTGTTGGCTTTCAGTACTTCAAACACAGCGTTTTATGTTGCCAAAGGTCATGTCTATTTTACCGACTTTGCTTCGGTGTAAAGCTTCGGAAAGTATTTTAGGTATTTCGCGTTAATCAGTTTATTCGACTGGTGAGTGATTTTTATTAATAATACACAACAAAGCAGAAAACTTAAATTGAACAATTTTAAATGTCTAAATTAAATTGGCAATTCAAAAATCGTTTTGCAAAAAGCAGAGTTGGCAGAGGCTCAGCAGATATTCGTATTGCAACCAAATGATGAGCCACTCTAGTGACTCTTATTAATAATAAGAAAAATATATCTTTGAGAGAGTCCCACACGAAAAAATATCATGGTTGGAGATCGTGTGAACGTGCAGGACCGAACCACGAAGTCCGATCCATCTTTCTGGATAATTCATGTTTAACCAAACGGGTTTAATGCCCTTAGATTTTTCGGTCTGAGTCTTTAAAACGTAGGGTTTATGTCTGTTAAGGAATTAGAGCTCATTTAGTTGTATTACGAAAATATGTTGAGCGTCCTCGCTTACT